AGCATCATCACTTGATGTTGAAACAAAATGGCTATTTTTGTATTGATTTTATAACATGTTTATGTTATAATGTTTGATAATTAAAATTATATATATATATATATATATATATATATATATATACGTGTATGAATAATTCATTTACCTCATGATGAAACGTACTTTTCGAACAATCTCTTTCCATGTTGACGCACCTGATTCATTGATGAATATTATTCAGATAGCTAGAACATTATACATTGAAAATTTTAAATCAAAATTAAATGACCTACGATGTCTCAGACAACAAACTTATTGCTGCACGTACATATATTTTCCTCTCTCTCTCTCTCTCTCTCTATATATATATATATATATATATACATCCTAATTTATATGAGTGTCTGTACGTGCACGCGTGCATGTGTTCGTGCTGGTGTATGTATATATATATATATATATATGTGTGTGTGTGTGTGTGTGTGTGTGTGTGTGTGTGTGATGTAGATTGTCTACTGAAGTCGATTAACATTCCAGGTGAAAAATAACGACATAGACGAAGGAAAAAGGCAAGCGTAAAAAAAAAAAAATAGTATAAAAACTTAAAGAGATGATGTCAATATAAAGACACAAAGTAACATTTTCAACTTTTCTTGGGAAAGCATTTCGAGAGAAAAAAAAATTGTCTCGGAAATCGAAAAGAAATGAAGGAAACAAGAAATTGGGATTAAATTTGTGCTGAAAGAAAAATGGCGGGTGAGGAGATAAAAAAACATGTCGGCGGTTGAAAGAAATGGAAAGATTTGTGAAAAGCCAAATACAAAGTGCAAATGAGGGAGAAAAGGCAAACAAAAAAAATAAAAGAAAAAGAAAATAAAAAAACACACATTCCTTGTGTAAATTTCATGCACAATTCATTTGGTTAGCGAGAAAATATTGCAAGTGTTGCTGGTTGAGAAGAAAAAAGAGAATTAATGGAAAAACAGAAATTGAATAACCGATATTTGATATGACGAGGGGTATAAAGAAGAAGAAGAAGAAGAAAAAGAAGAAGAAGAAGAAGAATTAGAAGAAGAAGAACAAGAAGAAGAAGAAGAAGAAGAAGAAGAAGAAAGTGATGATGATTAAAGAAAATGAAAAAAAGGAAAGAAGTAGTATGAAATGAACGTAAGGAAGAAGCATAGAAAGACATTGTAGAAAGCGAGGAATAAAACAGTGAAGTTCAAAATAAAAACGAAAGAAAGAAAGAAGCCAACGACCGAACGAACAAACAATAGAAAAACATTGAAGAGAAGGAAAGCAAAATAGAAATAGTGAAAGAAAGAAAGAAAGAAAGAAAGGAAGAAAGACGCGAAGGAAAAAAAAAAGAATGCAACTACGAACACAAAGATGAAAATGAATGGTGACTATAAATGAGTTGAAAGAAAGAAAGAAGGAAAGAAAGAAGGAAGGAAAGAAAGAAGGAAGGAACGAAGGAAAGAAAGAAAGAAGGACCGAAAGAAAGAAAGAAAGAAAGAAAGAAAGAAAGAAAGAAAGGAGGAAAGAAGGAAGGAAAGAAAGGAAGTAAAGAAAGAAAGAAAGAAAGAAAGAAAGGAGGAAAGAAGGAAGGAAAGAAAGGAAGTAAAGAAGGAAAGAAAGAAGGAAGAAAAGAAGGAAGGAAACAAAGAAAGAAAGAAAGAAAGAAAGAAGAAAAGAAGGAAAGAAAGAAAGAAAGAAAGAAAGAAAGAAAGAAAGAAAAAATGAAGGAAAGGAGGAAAGAAGGAAGGAAAGAAAGGAAAGAAAGAAGGAAAGAAGGAAAGAAAGAAGGAAGGAAAGCAGGAAAGAAAGAAAGAAAGGAAGAAAGAAGGAAAGAAAGAAAGAAAGAAGGAAGAAAAGAAGGAAGAAAAGAAGGAAAGAAAGAAGGAAGGAAAGAAATAAAACAAAAAAGAAGGAAGGCAACTACGAACAAAAAAGAGAAGGAATGGTGACTAAAATGAGTTGAAAGAACGAATGAATGAAAGAAAGAAAGAAAGAAAGGAAGGAAGAAGGAGGGAAAGAAGGAAGGAAAGACGCGAAACAAAAAAGGAGCAAGGCAACCACGAACACAAAGAAGAGAAGTAATGAGGAGTTGGAAGAAAGAAAGAAAGAATGAATGAAAGAATGAAAGGAAGAAAGAAAGAAAGAATGAATGAAAGAATGAAAGGAAGAAAGAAAGAAAGAATGAATGAAAGAATGAAATGAAGAAAGAAAGAAAGAATAAATGAAAGAATGAAAGGAAGAAAGAAAGAAAGAATGAAAGAATGAAAGGAAGAAAGAAAGAATGAAAGAGTTTAAAGAATGAAATGAAAAGAAGGAATGTAACTACAAACACAAAGAAAACGAGTGGTGACTCAAAATGAGTTGAAAGAAAGAATGAAAGAATTTATAGAAGGAAAGAAAGAAAATGAAAAAGAAAGAGAATTATGCTACGGAAGTTTCTTCTTAGATTAAAGCCGACATTAATGCTTTTGTAACTTCTCGTAAATATTAGTTGAAACGACAACCTTCCCCTTGACTTACATCAGTCTTTTCAGCCGCTGTAGCCCATAGGAATCACTTTTTCCGGGTGTACCAGCGTGACGTTTTTGATCACAACAGACGTCTATTTGTATCTGCTCGCAATACTTGTAAACGTGTCCCCAAAGAGAGTAAGCCTTTGTTTGCTGCTAGAATGAGGCAGTCTATAGCCGCTAACAAGTTTGCTTCACGTGACAACTGGCAACTGTGTAATAGCGTATTAAACAAGAATATTTCTTCTGTCCCTTCTCTCTTCACTCAAGTTGAGGTGTCAACATCTTCAGCTGATAAAGCAACGTGTTTTGCTCGTAAATTGTCTTCAAATTCTAATCTGCCACATCTGGATTATCTTTGCCAGATTTTCCACTTATCACGTTGAAACACAGGTTCCCGTATGATCACAGACCTTAAGCAACGTAGAGCCTGGTCAGTACTGAGATGGGTGACTGTTTGGTAATTCCAGGGGCTGTAAGCCTGCATGTGTGGATAAATGTATCGGTTAATGCCTTGAAATTGTTAATCGGAGAGCCGGGTTCCCTTTCCAGTCGGATTCTTTATATCCACTTAACGCGCAAATACCCTTGGGAAATATATAAATCCACCACTTCTTACACCCCAGCTATGGGTTAATTAGTAAGACTTGTGTCACTAAATTATTATTATCTCAAAACAAAATCTCACAACCTAAAAATATTTTCCCGATTATTAATCTTAGCTGAGTAAAGACGCTGGGTTGAGTAATGGATAGCGACTCGGATTGAGGAATAGGAGAGCCGAGTTCGAATTCCAGTCAGATCCTATTACATTCACTTACATGCTAATACCCTTGCGAAAAGTATGAATCCTCTTCTTCTGCCCTCAGCTATGGGTAAATAACAGGACAGTCCGTGTTCTATAGCCTTGGATGGCAACTGGTCTACAGCAGAAAGAAATGGCAGCCTATGACACATAACTGACTAAGTAAAGTACTAAGCTAAATAAAGGTAGGAATATAACATTGCGCCAGCCTTGCAAGTAGGCAGTCTCGACTTAATCCTAAAGGTTATAGCGACGGATTAAGGGGTGAGGTCAGTAGTCGGCTTGTAAAATCCTGATTTGGATTGGACTGAATTTAACTCATCATAAATAAATCAGTCGAATTCATTACATTCCCTTACTTGCTAATACCCTTGGGAAAGGTATGAATACATGTCTTCTGATCGCAATCTATAGTGAAAATAGCAGGATAGACTGAGTTCAATAGCCTTGGTTGGCGACTAGCCTAAGAGAGGAATAATTATAAATTTAAACCAACCTTCAGTACACGTGGTACGCCAACGATCCTAATGGGTGACGGGACACGTGACCGCGATCGGTTGAAATAAAAGACCTTCGTATCCCATTAGTAATAAGTAATAAGGAAGTTTAATTCGAACTGCTTATTCCCAAGAAGAACTGACTCCCGAGAGGTTGGTTCCTCGATCACTACATTTTAACCACTTCAAGTCAAGGGTCAATCACTATCGTTCCTACATGTCATGATTCTGCTTTTCATACCTACTTCTTATACGTTCTACAACAACCGCATTCAGTCATCTTCTACCTTGAGAGGCTCTTGAGGCTTGAACAATTATATAAAAAAACATAGAACCGTTAAGCACCTCTGAGTAGAGTAATGATTAACGAACTCGTTAATTACGAGCATTACTATTAAGTGATGAAATCGAAAATTAATCGCTCTATATTCGTGGCCTTGAACCAAACTGAGCAAAGCTTATTAAAAGTACACCTAGTTATGGTGTAATGAATACGTATCGTCACTCTGGTTATTGCTGTTGACTTTGTTCCACACTGAGTGTCCCATTATTGTAGCCTTAAACTACTATACGTGTTTGTTTTTGACATCTCCATTGTGTAGTTCGTATCTTGAGCCCCCTTTTTCTTGCAGACAATCATATATTCTCTCTTCATAGTATTGATGGTTAATCCTTTCTTCCTGCTTTCCTTTTTTAGTGCCTTGCCTGGGAGATTCTGTAGTTTTTCTTCTACCCTGCCACCAACACAGTGTCATGTGCGTATATCATATTGTTAATATTGCCCCCACCGTGAATAAATCCCAAAAGGGTGACCAGCTCCCTTAAAATAGCCTAGAGGTTGAATTAAATACGTTGGGAAGACACGTGAAAATTCCTTTAGATAACAAAAAAGGAAGCTGTGGAGAGCTATGATGAACTTTAGACGGCTTGGCCGTAGAGAGCGTCACAGCCCAGCAAAGTCAACTGGCACAGGAAAACATTCAACTATCCTTCCACAAGAAGACATAACAATTTATAGATAAAAAAGGAGGTTGTGGAGAGCCACGAAGTGCTTCAGACCGCTTGGCCGTAGAGAGCGTCACAGCCCAGCAAAGTCAACTGGCATAGGAAAACATGCCACTATCCTTCCACAAGAAGACATGAAAATTTATAGATAACAAAAATGGAAGCTGTGGAGAGCCATGATATGCTTTATTTCGCTTGCCTGTAGCGAGCCTCACAGACCAGCAAAGACAACTGAAACAGGAAAATATTCCACGATCCTTCCACAAGAAGACATGACAATTTATAGATAACAAAAAAGGGAAGCTGTGGAGAGCCATGATGTGATTTAGACCGCTTGTGAATTGGCCTGATCGCCTAACAAAAAAAAAAAAAATGAAACAGATACCATTACTCTTTTCGAACCCGTACCGTTTCGATACAACGCCATCGTCATACCAACTGTACCAACGGGCCTCGGTGACGTAGAAGAAATTGAATAGACTCGATACAGCGCCGCTACTTACAAATTCCTTGGTGATACTCATCCAAGTATTCATAACCCAATGGATTTTGCCCCAAGAGCCACGACTTTTCTTTCCTTCGAAATAATATATAACAATGATTAGAAATAATATGTAACAGAAAAATTGCCTCATTTAAAATCCGACAATACGAAACCGCTGAAATATAGATATAGATAAAACAAACACACATGCGGACGCACACTCTCAAAGTCTGGACGTTGGGAGGGGAAAACCTAAGGTAATAATTTTCATTTATGATTCCCACTAGTCCTCAGAGATTCCAACGCATTTTTCCTCGCACACAGTTTTGTCTTTCTTTCATTCTAAACTGAGGAAGCCAAAGAGAGTCGATGCACTCCGGCGAAACGCGTCGTTAATAAATTTTTAACTTTGTATCATCATCTTCATTTATTAGAAAATATCGAAATACAAATCCAGGAACTTCTTACTTGTGTTGGAGGACCTCTCCTTGATTGACCAGATCTTCAGAGGTGTAGCCATGCACATCACGCTTGCGGGTTAGTGAGGCTACTTAACCTGTAGTTAGAGGTTTGAATTCAGGTTGCCCTACTCCTTGACCCAAGATTAGAGCCTGGTTTCTGTGGAAGAAATTGGTGGCAAATTCCAAAACCCTCCTTATTATATATATATATATATATATATATATATATATATATATATATGTTCAAACAGGTTTAGTTAAATGAATTTTTTAGTAGGTTTAGAAAATTGAGTAAGAAAAATACCAAAATTTTCTTCCGAATAGTTTTTATTTTCCCAAGTACTCGTCAATCTCGTCTGAGGCCATATTTGGAAAAATAAAAACTATACGAAAGTCAATTTTGGTATTTTCTTACTCATTTTCCTAAATCTACCAAAAAATTAATCCGCAAATGAAAACTAATCGATACGATATGCCTAAATTATTTAACCAAACTTGCTTGAATAAAAATATGCTGCCTAAATATATACACAACACACACACACACACACACACACACACACACACACACACACATATATATATATATATATATATATATATATATAATTTATTCGAAAATTATAACATAAATATGTTATAAAATCACTACAAAAATAGCCATTTTGTTTCACAAACCTCTGGTGTCTTATCAAGTGATGATGTTGAATGTCATTCTATATTCGCTCTACTCTGTATTGAGCACTCTTTTAAGAATAGTAATTGTTGGTTATTGGAATTTATTCCGTATATATCAATCATATACTTGGGTATATATATATATATATATATATATATATATATATATATATATATATATATATATATATATATACTGAGGTAACAACAAAATTGTCCAAATCCTGTAAAAGCAAAATTGTCCAATTGTTAGATTAAGTTTTGAACCGTTGTATCATAGAAATGATGAAAAATATCTTACTTGAACTTTCCGGGTTTTTTTAAAAAACACTATTGGATCTACTTCGAGTAATAATTACTCTCTAGGCTTAACAGAAGATTCATGATGAAATCGATCATAACCGAAAATGGCATGTTCATCATTAATTAATCATAGCTAAGGATCGGAAGCTCTTGAAGGATTGAAATGAAGTTCATATATATATATATATATATATATATATATATATATATATATATATATATATTCCCAGAATCATTTTCCAACTTATTCGAGATGACCTTCACCCACTCTAACCTTCTAACTTTCTGTCCTGGAGTAACAAGGTGTCTCACACGTTGCACGTACAATTTCATTTTCAAGTCTTTTTTTAATGCTCTTTGGACTGGCATAGCTGAAACTTCTCTCTCACATGCAGAACGCCTTATAAATTGAGTTGGATCTAACTGAAATCTTTAGCTCTGTTGTGACCTTCTGATCCAGTTTTCATTCCTACTGTTACCTCTTTTTTAAATTTTCCTTTGAGGATTCTTGAATGGAGGTTGAATATGGAAGCCAGATTATGAATGTTGGTACCGTTAATGAAGGCCTGAATGATCTTTTTCCTCTCACCATTGCTCAGTTGGGAAGACATAGTGGGGCTGACACAAAACGATTTTAGCCTTTCTAGCTGAATAGCTCAAAGAGTTTTTCAGTGGCAAATGGCGTCAAGATGGCTAAATGTCTTAACTGAAAACCATAGAAAAAAGAGACTCAGTTTAGTGTTTTTTTTTTTTTAGTTATTAAGCATTTTGTGGGATGGACAATTTTCCTGTTACACGATTTGGACAATTTTGCTGTTACACCCGGTATACGAACACACACACACACACACACACACACACACACACACACACACACACACACACACACACACACAAGCTGTAACTTTCTTTAAATGAACAGAATAAAATAACACACACACACACACGTTTAATCCAGGTCTTTTTTCCTTCCTATTTTAGGAACCACTTCCAGATTGAACATGTCTTCAGGAGTGTCGTTGCGGGTTGGTGAGTCTATTTAACCCATAAGTGGGGAGTTTGAATTCAGTGTTCTCCTTCTCCTGGGCCTGTTGCCAACCAAGGCTATAGGACCCAGTCTGTCCTGACATTTATCCATAGGAAGTAGATGGACTCATAACTTAATCAAGGGTAAGTAACTGTAACAAACTCGACTAGAATTCGAACCAAGTTCTATAACTTTTCAAATGCTTCTTTGGATTTTAGCAAAGAAACTCTAGATGCATAGCAGAAGGACAAGAACAGATGTGGCAGCAATATACAATACATGGATGAATAGTAGATTTATAAACGTGTAGGATAGATGCAAGCGAGTAAAAGTGTCTAGTGTCGACACAGTGAACCCACTTTCCTAGCAATAGAGATAGCAACTGATTCAATATAATCGTTCCACTTCATCTCAGTTGAAAATGTGAGATCAAGTAGGTGTAAAAGAGTTGCTCTCCTGGAGGTTAGTATCAGTCATGCTGATAAACGGGAGAACGTTTCTCAGTCGATTAAATGAGAACAGTTTCGTTTTGGAGTCATTAAAATTGACAAAGCCATTTCTTGCCCCAGTTAACAACAGATTGAATGTAGTTTTCGATATCAACTGTCTATTGACCGTAGTAAATTGTCGCATCATCAACACAGATTCCAAGAGAAGGGCTAATGATGATAGGGAGTTCGTTGATGAAAATTAAGAACAGATTAGGTCCAAGGATAAATCCCTGATGGAGATTCGCATTAATATAAAGAGGTCTAGAAGAATGGCCGCTCAAGACAAGGGAACTCTATTCAAAAGCCCATAATATAATGTCAAATCAGCTAAATCGTAAGTTGAAAATACATCTGTTTTTAAAAATACGCCCTATACTTTATTTTTTTTTAGACTGTTTTTTTTTTCTTTTCTTTTACAATTGGAAATCTTTACCCAGCCATTGAGTATACTTTCTGAGGCTATCGACAGAAGTTATTCAAAATTCATGGGTTTTCATAATCAAACAGAACACTGATGGTGAAAACAAAGAATGAAAAAAAAATCAGCCAGTGACGAAATTAGATTTAAAAAGAGTAAAGCCAAGTGAAGGCGGGAAAGAAAGAAAGATGTCAGCCAATAATGTATACGAGTCATTTTTGGAGCTCTCCTGTAAGTGAAAGACGAAAGAGAAGCTGACGATAGAAAGAAGGGACTTAATGAAATTACCGCGGCCCGTATCTCTTCCGACATTTGAACGGTATCTTCGGTCAGATAATCGCTTCTTTGGTTTAAACAATATCTGATTTCTTTCCAACTTCCTTCCTTTTCTTCATTCGTTTACGTTTTTTTTTTTTTGTGTGTGTTTTTTTGCCACCATTTTTTCTTTCGTTTCGCTTCAGATTGATCAGCGCCTCCATTTTTGACCGCCATCTTTACTTTTTTTTCCCCTTCCTTGCCAGACCCCAGAAACCTCACTTCTCACCAACAACAACCATGTCTCACTTCTCGAAATTCTTTTATCTTTCCCTTCTCGCATCCTCTGCGATCTTGTCGCGCAAGGGCCGGCCGTTCGTCATATCAGCACCTCCTTGTAGCAATTAGTAATGATTAGGAGACGCAATTATTCGCCATAAACGTTTAAGGTGACGGTCGGGGAAGGTGGAAGTGAAGCAGGGACTACTTTCAGTGGCAAACACGCCGCTAATCTGGCCATCTGGGACGGACTGTGTTGCGGCTACCTATTTAAATTAAAGATTCTCGTAGATTTATTTGGTTAAATTGTTTAAACTGGGCACTGTGCCGAGATTGACATCCAAATAGAGCGACTCACTCGTGAAAAGAGAGAAGCCGGAAAATCATTACGCATCAGCCAGCCTCGTTTTCATCTTTTCAACTCAAGTTTTCTCTTTCAAATTATTCTCTCTCTTTTTTTTTTCTACTTCTGGATCGTATTTTAATTTTTCCTTCTCTTTTTTTCCTGCAATAGTTTCTCCTTCATCTCTTGTTGCTGTTATTATTATTATTATTAATAATAATAATAATATAATGATAATAATAATAATCTTTTTTAGTTTTTTTTTTTCTTGTAAATTCTTCTAGTGTAATCTTTCTTTTTCTATCCCACGAATCTTTTTTACCTGGTTTAGGGATACATTACGTTGAAACATCAGTTCCCGTACGATCACCGAAGTTAAGCAACGTCGAGTCTGATCAATACCTAAACTTTTATCCAAATTCTTTCTTCTCTTATATCACACTCTTTCTTTCTTTCTTTCTTTCTTGCTTCCTTTCTCTTTTCCTTTTTTTTTCTACATTTTTCTCTTCCTCTTCCTCCTAAATTGTTTTCTCCTCTTTTTTCGTCCTAACCGCCTCTTTCTTTTTCTTCTTCTTAACTAAACTTTCTTACTTTCATCCTATTTCTTTATTTGCATATATCCAGCTGTTTCTTTCTTTTCTTTCTTTCTTTTTTTCTTTCTTTCTTCTTTTTCTATAATCTTCTCTTCCTCTTCCTCTTCCCCCTAAATTGTTTTCTCTTTCTTTTTTTTTTCGTTCTAACCGCCTCTTTCATTTTCTTCTTCGTCTTGACTGAACTTTCTTACTTTCATCCTATTTCTTTCTTCGCATATATCAAACTGTTTCTTTCTTTCGTTTCTCTCTTCCTTTCCCTCTTTCTTTCTTTCTTTCTTTCTTTCTTTCTTTCTTTCTTTTTCTGGCTTACGGTCACATCACATTGAAACACCGGTTCCCGTACGATCACCGGACGTAAGCAATGTCGAGCTTGGTCAGTACGTAGATGGGTGACCACTTGGGAATACAAGGTGCTGTAAGCTTGGACATGCGGTTGGTGTAATGAATAATGGCTCGGAATTGTTAATCGGAGAGCCGAGTTCCACTTTGGTTTCGGTATATTCAATTATGCGCAAAGCCTCCTGGGAAAATTATAAATCCGCCTCTTCTCCCCTCAGCTATGGGTTAATTAGTAAGATTTGTATCACTAAATCATTATTATCTCAGAAAAAATTCTTACAATCTAAAAATATTTCTGGCTTTAAATAAACTGCAAAGAGTTGTTAAACTGCAGAAAATGAATCAATCAGTCTTCTTCTTCTTCCTCCGCTTTCTCTTCTTCTTCTTCCTCTTTCTCTTTCTCTTCTTCTTCCTCTTCCTCTTCTTCTTCCTCTTCCTCTTTCTCTTCTTCTTCCTCTTTCTCTTCTTCTTCCTCCTCTTTCTCTTTTTCTTTCTCTTCTTCTTTCTCTTCTTCTTCCTCTTTCTCTTCTTCTTCCTCTTCCTCTTTCTCTTCTTCTTCCTCTTTCTCTTCTTCTTCTAACTCCTCTTTCTCTTCTTCTTCCTCTTTCTCTTCTTCTTCCTCTTCCTCTTTCTCTTCTTCTTCCTCTTTCTCTTCTTCTTCTTCCTCCTCTTTCTTTTCTTCCTCCTCTTCCTCTTTCTCTTCTTCTTCCTCTTTCTCTTCCTCTTCTTCTTCTACCTCTTCTTCTTCTTCTTCTTCTACCTCTTTCTCTTCTTCTTCTTCTACTTGACTAAACTTTCTTACTTTCATCGAAATCTCCTTTTCCTCTTCTCCCTTCTATTTCTTTCTTTCTTCTCTTATATCCCTCTTCTTCTTCTTCTTCTTCTTCTTCTTCAGAATCTTTCTTCTTTTGTTATCCTACTCCTTTTTTATATCATAATTTTTCCTGTTATTCCTTCGCTAGGATTTCAATTCCTGATTTTTAGGGTAAGCATACCTTCTTCCCTTGGAAGACGAATGCAGCACGATCTTCCTAACATTCATCTTGAATCAATTTATCAGTAACAAATCAATAATCAATGTGTTCATATTCATGCGCAGTAATCCGAGACAGGTGAATCATCACGTTGCAGCCATTACAGTTGCAGAGACATTGACCTAACAGTAATGGTATTTCCAGGTTAAGACATCCTGACGGCGACCATTCCTCTTCTGACTGGTTTTGAATTCATAATTTGGCTTCTTCTAAATTTATTGCCACATCAAGGCAAGAGAGCAAGTCAGCCCTACTATTTAACGCATTACTGGAGGATTAGGCGAATAGAAACCTTTTTTTTTTTGCAACTTGAAATTCTGTCTTCTTTATTACTTTTTAGTCGAAAAATAATTCTTTTCTTCTTTTTTCTTTTTCTCCTTGTTTTTTTCTTTTGTTTAATTCATCCTATCTTCCTGCTTTGTTGAAATCTATTTTTTATTATTCATCTGTCCAAGTGTCTTTCTATATTTCTACTTTATTTTCTTTGTCTCTGACATCGTATTTTTTTTCTTTCCATTTCCCTTTCTTGTTCGCATTGTTTCAGTGTCCATACGTTCTTCATCTAGTCTTTATTCTTGTTTTTTTCTGGTTGCTACATGTTTTGTAATAGCTACATGGTTTTATGTTTGATACATGTTTTTCATTTGCCACATGTTTCGTGCCACCTACATGTTTTGTGCTCCCTACATGTTTCGTGCTTCCTGCATGTTTTGTGTTCGCTACATGTTTTGTGCTCCCTGCATGTTTTCTGATTCCTACATGTTTTGTGCTTGCTACAAGCACATGTCGTTCTCTTTCTAACTTTATGTTTGTATTTTCTTTCCTGTCTTTCGCCCTGACTGCTCTTTCTGTTCTTTCTTCTTCTTTATGTGCCGTGACCCCTTAGACGATCATGGCTCTCCACAATTTCCCTGCCTTTGTAGCTCTTAATAAATGTTGTGTTTTTGTTGTTTCCCCTAAACCTTGGTCCGCCATCCATTTACTCCAGCTCCCTAAGTAAGTTACACGTTGTTATCCTCTGCCCCTCTTGCCTTCGATCTGTCCTGTGAGTATCGGATTTTCCAAGCCCTCTTTCCTCAGTATGTGCCCTAGAAATTTCAATAGTTTCTTCCTGGTGTTAAGTATTAATTTCCTTTTTGTTTCCATTTTTCCTAAAACTTCTTCGTTGCTCACGTATTCGGTTCATGGTATCCTCAGTATCCTTCTGTAGGACCATATTTTTGTTACATTAAATCTCTTCATCTTTGACGAGATTTTTCCAGACCTCACTGTCATATAAAAGGACAGCTATCGCATAACAGTTCAGTATTCTTTCCTTTGTCTTTAACGAAGTTTTTTATTCTTCCTGTTTTGTAAACGTCTATCTTTGTTTTCTTCCATCCTTCGTCTTTAATTTCCGTTCCGACGCCTTCTTCTTCTTCTTCTCTCTTTCTGAATATTCTTTGATGCCTTCCTTCCTTCTTTTTGTCATTACTGCCTTTTGCCTGTGTCTTTTCCCCGGTTGCTTCTGTCGTACGCCGAGCGACGAGATGGACTCGCTCGCTGGTTTATAAACGCGAGAACAGAACGTAGGACTAGGAAAACAACAAAACCTCTGCTGGTTATCTGCTTGTCGACCTCTCTGTCTCCGGGCAGAGAGGAACCCAGAACAGGCTATACCGAAGAGCAGAATCTCGTCTGGGAATGTGAGAGCTACCCGACTCCGTGTATAGGGGTCCACGGGCAATTTTGCCCGCCTACGCTCTCGGGAATCGACCCGTTTAACCGGCCTTGTGCCATCCCCCCGTCTTGGATAAATACTGAGATAGTAAATGCCGTATTTATCGGTTTGTCTTAAAAAAATACAGTAGTAATCTGCAGCTGGACTCACTAGTATTGATTGATTAAGTATTTGTTTAGAGTTACATTATTATGCTGTGCTATAATTATTGCTCAAGGTTTCTAGTGCAGCTGTAACTAATCTTAATGTTGTTCTGATTGAAGATTCTGTTGAGTAAAGGATTATGGTTGAAATGTTTCTGTATTAAATTTAGGAAAATCCTGCCGGTGTTGATTTTGACATTACTGTTAAAAGTTGGGTTGAACCTAATTATGTTGCGTTTTCTATAACTACGTTTACTATTAGTATTCTTACTAATGTTTGGAATGTACTCTAGTTTAGTATTATGTTTAATTTTTACACTATTTGCACACAAATGTTATTACTAATATTGATTTTCAGGTGGGCTGACTTTAAATTAAACTGATCCAAATGAACGGCATAGATTCCCAGTAATAAAAAAACCGGGCAAAGACGGGTTATACTGCTAGTAGATAATAAAACGCATATTAGGTAGATTTTGATAAGAAGATAGAGATCACATGAAGTCATTAATCAGCGTTAAACAACCCGGATGAGAGCCAATATATTGCAGCTATACAACTCAAGCTTTATCGTTTTTGACGTGTTTACATATAAGACGAGTAATAAATGACGACTCGGTACACCCCCCCCCTCTAAAAGGCCCCACTTTTCAAGTGGATGCTAGCAAACTTAAGTATAAACCTTTTGACTCAAGTATAAACTTGACCAATGTTTAATTTAAATTCAGGTATACTCGTCTCGGCCGAAAAGTTCACAGGCTGACTAAGATTCTCTCATGGAATGGGATCAAATGAGGTTTATTTTTTAACATAGTCTCCACTGCGGTCAACACACTTCTTCCATCAGTGTTGCAGAGCTTGGATGCCGTTGGTGAAGTATTTTCCATCCTGTTGATCAAAATGTCATCAACAGCAGTTATGATGACATCATCACTGAGAAATTGGTTCCCGCCAATTTTTCGTCATGTTGGAGAGAGATGATAGTCATATGTAGCCAAATCAGGAGAATAGGGAGGATGGTCAACCAGTTCAAAGCACAGCATCCATTGAAACCAAAGAATGGTGAGATGCAGTATTGTCCTGATGAAACAAAACTCTTTCCTGTCTATTTTTCTGAGATGAGTTATTATGTACATTATTTAGACTAGTCGGACTATTGTCCTCATCTTTGTCGCCATATTTATGCTAGGCCGCAAAAATCTCCTGAGCCGACCAAGCGTAGAAATAAATACAATATGGGAACCAGTAATAAGGAGTGCCAGAGAAAAGCGATAATAACAACAAAGTTGCAATATGAGCTATGGTAAAAATATGAATGATAACCGCAAAAATTGCAATATGAGCATTGGTAAAAAATGGTGGCTGAAGACATTAGGCTTATAATACCCAGAAATTCATACACAGATGTCCTCAAGGACGCACGGCACAGTGGATAAAGGCGTTGGTTAGATTCAGTGACAGGACCCAAAGAGTGTGAGTTCTGTTAAGGGGTCCACCCCTTTTTATACAAGTGGACTCGCCCAGTGTGTACTTGTACTGCTGCCGGTGAATACCCGGAAGTGAGAGAGTGAGAGTGTGAGGTAACCGCTTTGTAGGAGTCACAGTTGCGAGCACGTAGACTCAGAAGGAAGTCCTACTTCGATACTGAATTTCCCAGACTGTATATATATTATTATTGCTACTAACCGCATTTCTGGATCTACTAACCGTATTACCAATTGTATTATTACGTCAATACATTTATTTGCTATATTTCATTCCTGCGTTTGTCATTCATTTGAGACCGTATTTCATCCCGGAAACCACAAGTCCATACCCGGTTAAGGCAGTGGAGAACTTTCAGAGGGAAAATTAACAGGAGATAACTGATAACTGACATCCATTAAACATGGCACGTGGAACTAGAACAGTCTACCACAGTGAGCGAAATAAAGGGTTCAGTTCGACATTCCAACCACCTGATGAAGGCCGGAGCGTACAACGGCCGAAACGTTGTAACGAATATGGCGACAAAGATGAGGACAATAGTCCGAATAATGTAAATAATGAGAACTCTTTCCATCAGTTTTTCTGGTCGTACGCTCTTGATATCTTTTCGCAACTGCCTCGGCAACTTGGCCTAGTACTCTCCATTGATGGTGTGGCCCTTTTGAAGATAATCAATAAACACAATATTTTTTTTTTTTTTGCATCCACCAAAAATGAGTCTGTCACCTTCCCTGCAGATGCAACGAACAACTTTCATTGGAGCAGGTGAGGGGGCGTGTTTCCATTGCATGAATTGTCTCTCTGACTCAGTGATGAACCCAACACTCATCCTTGGTTAGGAAACCAGCTGGATCTACGTCAAACAATGTCAGGTTTTCCCAGGATCAGCCTAATGCGCTTTATACATCATATTTAGTGGCTACTCACATTGGAATAGACGCGCCATTTATTTATTAAACAGTACATTAATTTATTTTCGTATACAGGCCTGAATATACGAGAAATCATATTATATATATATATCTTGTTCTTGTAACGGCATTCACCCGAGATGGGTTGAGCTGGCTCCAATATTGGAGTTTCATGGGAATTTGGAACTCACAAGCGGTCCCCAACCCGCAAGTATAGCACATGAGATTTGATTATAGTGGTGAAGGTTTCGTGCAGGACCATCCACAGTTTTTGAAGGGCCGAATACAGAGACCTGGCGCACTACGTGCCACAAGGTCCCCAAACGACCCTACGCAAGTTTTCAATTCAGAGTTGTCCTTCTCCTAGACCAGTTGCCATCCAAGGCTATAGAACCCAGTCTGTCCTGCTATTTACCCATAGCTGGAGGGAGAAGAAGAAGAGGATTCACACCTTTCCCAAGTGTATTAACATGTAAGTGAATGTAATGGATTCGAACTCGGCTCTCCGATTCCTCAATCCAAACCACTATCCATTACTCCTCATATATATATATATATATATATATATATATATATATATATATATATATATATATATATATATATATATATATATGTGTGTGTGTGTGTGTACGTGTGTGTATGTGTATATATATATATATATATATATATATATATATATAAAAAAAAATCCGTGTGTAAGTAATCCAAGTAGATTCTATTACTATAAAATATTAAAACTCATCCACAAAAAGAGAGCTCAATATAATTTTTTTTTATTATAGAACATATAAGAGAATGATAATTAATGAGATCCAAACAATTTACCTCATACAGATGATCATTTCGTCCATGAGAAAGTAGTTTTACCCTGGACTTATCAATGCAAATACATTTACTAAAAAAGAATCATTTTTTTTTTTTAGTAAATGTATTTGTATTGATAAATCCGTATGACGAGACTATGAAAAAATCGATCATGACTCGTGTTGTTAGGTTAACGTTTTGGTTTTATAGCACCTTGCGGTGTTGGGTAAAACTAATCCAACTGCAGCCTATTATATATATATAATTTCTTTATCTCAAATACTAATTTTCTCATAACTGATCGAACTGACTTAGAGATTATGAAAATAGACATTATTTTCTTTGATATTTAAATACAGGCTTATTTTTCATTTTAAAATAATATTTTTTTTGATTTATGAATTATACTAGTGCATAAAATACTTGGACAAATAAAGTTTATATCTATATTGTTAGTTCTTGAGTTTGGAGCCATGAGGTATTTTTTTTAGAAACAATCTTCAGAATATAATGGCTACCATTTTGTTCCCAATTTAAGCATTATTTGAGGACGAGAAATCTTCAGTTTTTAGTATTTTTGAACATTTTTGTCGAGATTTACAAACTCTACGTTTCGTTCAATTTCGTAAACCAATCAATGAAATTAGAATAAGCTGATTTGTTTGGAAAAATACTTTGACAAAAACCCTACTTCGAGGTTTAATAATTTCTTTAATTTAATTTAATTTTATAGGACTTCATGGTAAACATTATTTTTAAGAAATATTCTTTTTTTTCCTTTTTCCTTTTTAACAGCAAAGAATAAATTTATTAAGATTTCTTACTCTTGAACATGCAACATACAACTGGCATTATGTAAATATTTCTTTTTGGAGACAAATTTCAATTTTTTTTGTTTGGCCTTGTGTTTTTTATAGTTCCCGCAAACACGGAGCAAACTGGAGTCTGAATGCTTGTATAAAAAGAAGCTTAAAGAAAAGATATGCAATTGTTATTAATTTGTTTTTTTTTAGTGGAATTATTTTTGCATGTGAAAAAATAAAACCTTTAGTTTTTCTAAAAAATATAATGAAATTTAGTGCACTTAGTAAAACCAACTGTACTTTGTACCCCCTTATGTGTTTGAACTTCTCCACAAAATTTGGTTTCAATCGGTCAATATATGGCTATTTTAGAGAGTGTTGCCGACGGCCTAACATAAGTCAGAGAATTTTATATATAGATCTGATGGGCGAAAATCAGATTAAGAGCCAAAAAAAAGAGACCAATTTTGAAAAAAAAAAAAGCTTTTCCCGTTATGATATCCCTGTTGTAATTATGATTAACATGCTTACGGCCATATCACGTTGAAATAGCAGTTCCCGTACGATCACCGAAGTTAAGTAATATCGAGATTGGTCAGTACCAAAATGGGTGACCTCAAGGCAATACCAGGTTTAGTAAGCTTCAATGTGCAGATGATGCGTGTGTGTGTGTGTATATATATATATACACACACACTCACTCATATATATATATATATATATATATATATATATATATATATATTTTAGTACAGGTAATAGATCCGTTGGTATATAATCCGGATGGATCCTAGTAATATTATTATTGTGCGTGTATATATATATGTATATATACACACACACATATATATATACATATATACACACACACACACATCTCAACATAGATATCGTCTATTTCAAGCTGTTCTGTATACGGCTATCATCAGTCCCTAAGTCTATATATATATAATCTAACATATATATATATATATATATATATATATATCTCAGATTCAGTGATTTTTTGGGGGGGGTTGTCTGGCTTTGGTTTTCTCTGAAGTATTTATGCAGAAGACAGCGCGAAAATCTCAGTTGTTACTGATTTCACCCTAGGGAATAAAGTCACTAAGACGCTTGTTAAATGAGAGAAAGAGAATAGTATTAAGGAGACAAAACAATGAAATGACAGGAATTAAGAAGACAGAAGATAACGATTCCCATTGCATCTAATTATCTACTTCAAATTTGACTGGAAAGCAAGAATGCGGAAGAGAGTTCTACAAGTACGAAGTGCGAGAGAAGAAATTGTTAGCATCTAGTCATTTCAAGTGTAAGAACGATGAGACCTAACTGCCAATTTAGTACTGCGCTTAAATTTACTAGGTGCCTGAGAGGAAATCAATATTTATTTTGATTTAATACAAAAATGTGGCACAGAGCCAAAAGGGGGATGGGGCGAAGTTGGTCTTTAATCTGTCTTATCTTAAGCTTAGCTAGCCACGACTACTGACCCAAACATACCACAGCAAAACAGTGGGGGTAGGGGATGCACATGCACCCCCGAGCAACCTTCGTCGCCCCACTTCTTCCAATGGGTTAAAAAACCCATTGGAAGAATTAGATGATATATATATCATTCGCTCCGGAAACGCAATCTGACACAGCCGTGTAAACTCGCGTCCATTACCATTCGCACGGCTGTATGTAAAAATCATATCTGCCTGCTCCTGATATGTATATCCTGTATACGGCTATCATCAGTCCCTAAGTCTATATATATATATATAATTTAATACATATATATATATATACCTCTCTCTCTCTCTCTCTCAGATTCAGTGATTTTTTTTTTTTTTTTTTTGGGGGTCTTTAAACGGAACAATTCTCAGTTAATTGACTACTATACACGTCAAAGAGAGAGAGGTGTATATATATATATATATATATATATATATATATATATATATATATATATATATATATATATATATATTAGATTATATATATATAGACTTAGGGACTGATGATAGCCGTATACAGAACTGAATAATAATTAGATGCATATGACTGAGGTTGCCTTGGTAACCTAGGTCTCTGGCCGGTAAGATGTTTCTGACACAAGGAGGAGTTCTGTTTCTCTGATCTCTATGCGGACGAGACACATACAATCGGATTATCACGACTGAATCTTTCCTGGGTTATTTGCCCTCTCTTGTGCTGGACGTAAACATTTTGCGGGGTTTGGGCGTTATCAATTATGACAGTCAGGTATACGAACCTTCGAGTAACTGCGAATGAGGCTATCCTACCAGCAGGTGTATAATATCGCGTCTATTGTAGTTCCATTTTGTGAATGGTTTTTGGACCGTGCAATAGTCTCCGTTGGGGGCTTCTTGATGACATAATAATGAGTACTGTTACGGCAGTATCCCCGGGCTTGTCAACCCAGGCTATCCATGCGTGCATCTCCAGCGGATGCCTGTTTCACTTCCTGCTAGTCATCTATCAAACCAACCGAAACAGGCATGAACGCAATCAAAATGAAAATGAACAAAACTAGCAAACCCAACCGCAAACAATAAAAAAGTAAACCCCAGTTATACCATCTCTTACACCAATGTAAGTGGTCTGAGTTTCAGCTTTCTCGAAGGGGAACTCTATCTTCTTCAGTTTAAACAGGTATCAGTTCCTCAATCCCAGGAGCTCACAATCACGGGCCACTCTCTCAAATAGAATAACTTCTCTCTGTATGCCCTCCGCCTAAAAACTGCTTCTGATACTAAGTCGGATAAGGGTAGAGGAAGCATATGAACCCCCGAGCAACCTTCGTCGCCTACTTCTCTCAATGGATCTTTTAGTAGTCGTGTATATAAGCGAGCTTGCTTTAGTACCCTAAGTCTCTGGCCGGAACGGTGTTTCTGACCCAAGGAGGGGTTCTGTTGCGAGACGATACACATACACTCGGAGTATGGCGCCTGAATCTTTCCTGGGATATTTGGCCTATATTTAAGGGTGCTGGAAGTAAACGTTTTGGGGTGTTTGGGCGTTATCCGCCTGATAGGGACACGAACCTTCAAGTAACTTCAAAAGAGGCTATCCTATCAGCAGGTGTTTAATGACGCGTCTATTGTACTATTTGTACTATATGTGAATGGTTTCTGAACCATGCAGTAGTCTCTGGTGGGGCCTCTGATATTACGGCAGTATCCCCGGGCGTGTCAACCCAGGCTATCCATGCGTGCATCTCCAATGGGTGCCTGTTCCACTGCCTGCTAGTCATCCACCAAACCATGAACGCAATCAAAATGAAAACGAATAAGACTAACAAACCTAAACTCAATGAAAAAGTAGACCCCAGTTATACCATTTCTTACATCAATATAAGGGGTCTGCGTTCCAATTTTCCAGAAGGGGAACTCCATCTAAAACTGTTTCTAATGCTGTATCTGTCTGAAACGGGTATCAGTGCCTCCATCCCATTGCAGGAGCTCACAATCCCCGAGCTACTCACGCATTATAACAAAATACGACCACCTAAATCGCCACGGTCACGGGCTCGGTGCCTACACCAAGGACGAATTTCCCTGTGGCGGGGACACAAAAAACGAGGACGCTGCTTTCCCTTATATGTGTTTCGGCGTGGCACTTATCTATAGTACCACATTCGTCTTTGCCCTGTTTCGTCCTCAGGATGAACGGTCGGTAATCTTCGATCGAATATCTGAGCGGATTGACAATATCATCACGGAATATCCCTCGACCATCTTTCACATGTGCGGTGACTTTAATGTTCACCACAAAGAGTGGTTAGTCAACTCTAACAAAAAACCAATGAGGAAGGCAGATATTGCAGAGACTTCTCCATCGGATATGAACTAACCCAGATCATTAAAGAAACCTCCCGAGACCCGGATGCGACGGGACATCAGGCAAATTTTCTCGACCTTTTTTCCAACATCCTGACCCGACAAAGGCCCAGAAAATTTTTTTAGCCTCATTGGCACGGCAGAACATTCCTTAGTCAGTTTCTAGATTGACTCCAAACCAATGACATTTCTGGATGTGTCGTTAGATAGAGAACGGTTTTTCTCTATGCGGAGGTAGATAGGGTCGGCTTTTGGTCATATATGACGGAAGCTCCCCCTCCCAACGTTCTTCAAACATGCTGTCCCCAAAAATCCTACCCATATCTCCGAATAGATTCTTTCTGGAATGGAGCGTTTTATGCCCAAAAGAAAATTCCAGCAAAAACAAAATCAGTCCGCCCTGGTTCGCCTCTGAATATGCTGCATCCATAGCCCACCGAAACGACTACTTTAAAATCTATCGTAAGAAGCTGTGTAGACTGGCCCCATTACTTTCAGAACCACCCACAATCTCTGTAAGAGAGTCCTGGAAAACGCAAAATGCAGCTACGCGATCTGTCCAGACCAAGGTTGAAAATAAACGAATTAGATTTCGCGAATTCTGGAAGATCACCAATAAAATTATGAACGGTGGCTGTGTCCACAATTATAAATAGCCGCGAGGTGATATCATCTTCGACAGACAAGGTGAAGCTCTTCACCGTGATCTTTGCCTCAAACTCGTTCTGGGGACTCCAACCCTTCAGCAGCAAAAGCTTCCTCCTTGCACTCAAGTGGAAGAGTTTCTGGATGTCAATACCAGTGTGACAATAATCACAAGTATTGGGAAAATGTTGTCATTGGCCTATATGAGCACCAAACATTAAACTGACTATGTGTCACATACTACCACTGAAGAATCAGTTCGACATTCCAACCACCTGAAGAAGGCCGGAGCGTACAACAGCCGAAACGTTGTGATAAATATGGCGACAAAGATGAGGACAATAGTCACATACGACCACTGATGAGTAGTGGGAAAATATAAGATAAGATCAAAGCCTAGTATCTATTCTCTTCTTGATTAAGCTATGAGGGAATTTTTGTTGCAGAGATTCTAATCATGCAACACTACCTCTCTCATTGCACTCAAGAAAGATGGTTGGTAGATGCCAGTGCCAGTGTAACAATGATTATAAAGGCTGGATAAGTTTTGTTCTGGCCATTATCTATGCATAGCAACAGTCATGGTCAGATCTTGGACTGGGGAATCGGAGAGCCGAGTTCGAATTCCAGTCAAATCCATTATATTCACTTACGTGCTAATACCCTTGGAAAAGGTATAAATCCTCTTCTTCTCCCACCAGCTATGGGTAAATAGCAGGACAGACTGGGTTCTACTAGTCTACTGCAGAAAGAAATGGCAACCTACTGTGGAAAAAAGTCTGCCTCATCAGTTGTGTATCAAAAGATACATGATCGCCTAAGCGTGTATTACACATGGCACATAACTGACTGATATTTACCTAGATCCCCACCATAGATCTAAATAAACACCAGTTTTCATGAAGAACTTTTGACATGGAGAGGGAAACTTACCTTCATCCCTAGCACAAATTATAACTGAAATAATATTACATTTTTTTGTCTTTTATAGACAGTGATAAGTATAAGAACATAAGTAACATAGCTAAAAACTCAATTTGTTTCACAAAGATGCTGTCAGTGTCAGCAAATGTATTTTTTTGAAGTAGTATCTGTAATCATTTAAAACTAGAATGCAAAATAATAGCATTCAAATTGGCGGAGTTAAATATCTGAATACATGGTGATGCTGAAAAAAAGGACATGGAAAAGTTATAAACCACTTGATGCCCCTGCATGGCAAATGGTTTTATAGATTAAGATACAAACCATCTACGGATCTGTGTCAGCTAGTAGTGCAAGAACAGATCTTGGGCTGGGGAATCGGAGAGCCGAGTTCAAATTCCAGTCGAATCCATTATATTCACTTACGTGCTAATACCCTTGGAAAAGGTATAAATCCTCTTCTTCTTCCCCAGCTATGGGTAAATAGCAGGACAGACTGGGTTCTATAGCTGTTGGGACGCACCCACCTTCTCATCAGAATGGACTGATCTCTCTACTACTAATAGGACAGTTCTATAGAGTTCGAAAGAGATCAGGTGACCATCACACTTCCGTCTCTCTACCGGAAGATACAGTTGGACTTTATACTCTTTCTGATTGTTACTGACTAACCTGCGTTCGTTTGACTACTAATCTCTCTGTTGTAAATACCTCTTCAAATATACCAGTATTTTCCCCTACGTATGTGTTTGTCCTTATTTCAATACACGCACGCGGAAACACTCAACATCTCAACAATAGCCTTGGATGGCAACTAGTCTACTGCAGAAAGAAATGGCAACCTACTGCAGGAAAAAAATCTGTCTCGTCAATCATGTATCGAAAGATGCATGATCGCCTAAGCGTGTATTACGCATGGCACATAACTGATTGAACGGGGAAACTACGTTACGTAGGTCGGAAAGTGACTGAATGTCGAGATAAGAGTTCAGGACCAATAACATTGCATATTCCTCTTTGTATGTTATTAATGTTGAAATTAATGCATGCAAGGTTTCACAGCTCTAGCATCACTCCTTATGCATCTATAAACTCTTCAGTCAGTCCTCGTGCTATGCACAATTTGCATGAAAAAGAGAGAATAATGTGTAATAATGATTGTGTATAATCATCGATCCTATCTAATATATGTTGGGTCTTGTGCTTAATGCCATGTTTTCTTTAAGTGATAAATGTGAAGATTTTTGTGGCTTCCGGGTTTCGGACATCAGAGAAAAATGAATAAAGGCGAAAGTAGAAAGAAAACTGAATTTAGGAAGGGAATTTGTGGGTGGGAAGAGGTTAACAAGGATAAATAGAAAGTAGTCGATCGTCGAGAGATTAAAATTGAATGGTTTTGAAAATGCGCCAAAAACTGAAGAAGCCGCCATGAAAGACGAAGGAGAGTTGTATACGTAGAAACGGCATCCAAAGAAAGAAAGATAGAAAAGCGGGAAGAAAGAAAGAAAGAAAGAAAGAAAGAAAGAAAGAAAGAAAGAAAAGCGGAAAGGGGAAGGAAAATAAAAAAACGAAAAATAAAGAAAGAAAGAAAGAAAAGCGGAAAGAAAATAAAAAACGAAAAAGAAAGAAAGAAAAAGAAGCGAGAAAGAAAGAAAGAAAGAAAGAAAGAAAGAAAGAAATGCGGGAAGGAGGGAAGGAAAATAAATAACAAAGAAAGAAAAAATAAATAAATAAATAAATAAAGAAAGAAAGAAAGAAAGAAATGTGGAAAGGGGAAGGAAAATAAAAAACGAAAAAGAAAGAAGGAAAAAGAAGAAAGAAAGAAAGAAATGCGGGAAGGAGGGAAGGAAAATAAATAAATAAATAAATAAAGAAAGAAAGAAAGAAAGAAAGAAAGAAAAGCAGGAAAGAAATAAAGACAGAAAGAATGAAAGTAGGCAACGATTATAAGAATGAACGGGGGGACAAGGACTTGAAGCAACTCTACATAGTGTTGGAGGAAAATTCAGGGTCCGGATCTGAAGCCTTTTGAAGCAAGTCAAAGAGGTGGAAGATTGTCGTTGTAAAAGTGGCGAAAGAATTGAACGTGAAAAGAAATGGCAGGGGAAGGAGACGAAGGACAGGGATGAAAAAAAAATGCAAGTAACTGGATAATGGATGAAAATGCGAAAAGTTGTAATTACGGAATCCATGTTGATTGAGCGAAAACCCGATTACGACTTTAATAATGATTAGAAACGGGAGAAAAACAAACAGAAGCGGCGGGAAACAGGAGTAATCAGATTGCATCGCAAAGAGGGGAAAAGGAGAAAGTGAAAGTGAAAGTCGGATTGAAAGAAAAGAAGAGAGTGAGGTGGGAGACAGTAGAATCGCTCTCGGCAGGAGTCGCACAGATGGCGGGAAAAGCGGTAGAAAGGTGTCGAGAGATGCGGAGAAAATGTCGTTAAACGTTGGAGAAAATGTTTACACGCCGGAACACACGACACCGTGTACATAGATCTGGGAGTGTGCACATACATAGGGGAACATGCGTTTAGTTGGACATGTTTATGTGTGTATGTCTCTGAGAGATTTTTACGTATACCAAAAACAGGCGCTCTTTCTTGCAAGCGTTCAAGCTACGACCTCTCAGAAGATATGAGCAAATCTGTCTTTACGTTCCAAGAGTTCATATATATATATATATATATATATATATATATATATATATATATATATATACACATGTAAATATTTTAGAAATTGGAGATGCTTCTCTATGGATAGATGTATTGTTTGTCCAGTGGAAATATTTTACAAACAGATTTGTGTCTGGCATAGAGTCACAGTAACAGAGTTCAAAGTGAAAATCAGACTCACTATATTAATGGGATTGTTAGACATCTCTCTACAGTAGGCGCCACGCAAATATTTGCTTCTCTCCATTTTGTCTCGAACATGGCTATGGGGATGAGGCTATTAGCGCTAGCCGAACTAACTAAAAAAGAAATATCTAAGATTAGCTTAACTATAGTAAAACGACTAGCGAAGACATTAACCAGATACGCTGTTATTTTTGGCTGGTATTCGGATTGCTTGGGAATTTTTGCAATAATTTTCAACCTATACACAGTCCAAAAGCCATTCGTGATAGAGGGTTACAGACCAAAAATTAAGGGGTATTGTTTATGAGGGCATGTTGAGCTCAGCCTTTGGGGGTCAGTTACGGTGATTTATCTTTTGCTTTGAATAATGTCATATGTAACTGTTGTGGCCTTGTTAGGGCCAGAAATAAAGACACAAGAGAGGAATTGACTTAAATATATTAACAGAAAAACAGTAATACAAACGAGAGTGTTACGGCAAGAATATCCTGTCAGACTATCAGAGCTGAGTGCTGGAATCGTCACTCTCCAAAAGGCAGTACCTGCTCCTATTTATAGCTGGGAGAGTCCATGCGTGCGTGGGTAAATTAACATAACACTTTGTTTGTTTTTTGTTTCTTTTTTTCTTTCTTTCTGTTGTGGCCTTGTTAGGGACAGAATTAAAGACACAAGAGAAGAATTGAGTTAAACAAATATATTAACAGAAAAACAGTAATACAAATATATACAAACGAGAGTGTTACAGCAAGAATGTTCAGTCCGACTGTCAGAGCTGACTCCTGGAAACTACACTCCTCTAGAAGGCAGTACCTGCTCCTATGTATAGCTGGGAGAGTCCATGTGTGAGTGGACAAATTGCCATAACACTTTCTTTCTTTCTTTTGTGGCCTTGTTAGGGCCGGAAATAAAGACACAAGCGAAGAATTGAGTTAAACAAATATATTAACAGAAACAGTAATAAAAGATATACAGACAAGAGTATTACAACAAGAATGTTCGGTCCAACTGTCAGAGCTGACTGCTGGAAACTTCTCTCTCTAAAAGGCAGTACCTGCTCCTATTTATAGCTGGGAGAGTCCATGCGTGCGTGGGTAACTTACCATAACACTTTCTTTCTTTCTTTCTTTCTTTCTTAGGGCCAGAAATAAAAACACAAAGAGAGAAATTGAGTTAAACAAATATATTAACAGAAACAGTAATACAAACATATACAGACGAGTGTGTTACAGCCAGAATGTTCGGTCCGATAGTCAGAGCTGTCTCCTGGAAACTACACTCCCCTAAAAGGCAGTACCTATTTATAGCTGGGAAAGTACATGCGTGTGTGGATAAATTATCATACTCCTTTCTTTCTTTTGTGGCCTTGTTAGGGCCAGAAATAAAGACTCAAAGAGAGGAATTGATTTAAACAAATATATTAACAGAAAACAGCAATACAAACATATAAAAACGAGTGTTACAGCCAGAATGTTCGATCCTACTGTCAGAGCTGACTGCTGGAATCTACACTTCTCCAAAAGGCAGTACCTGCTCCTATTTATAGCTGGGAGAGTCCATGCGCGTGTGGATAAATTACCATAACAGACATCGATTAACTCTAGACTTGAAGAGGCTGGGATTGTAGTGATCGAGGAAGCATCTTCTTGAGAGTCGGTTCCGCAAAGTAACCATTCCAGAATGGAGGTTGTTCGAGTGGAACTTAAATCTCACCAATGGTATACGAAGGGAATGAAAGTGGTTCGTTACAATGTGCTTAATATGGCCGAGGAGGTTAGAACTGTTGGATCTAAGTAAGTCAGTTAATCAGAACATTTTCCATGATAACAAGATGTCAAACATGCTTATATATGTCTACTTGGCATTCCATCTCAAAGGAGAGATTAATCTGAAAATACATTTTCCATAACGTTAGACAAGAGTTTCTCAGAATAACCAGAATTACTAAGAAGCAAGAATTAAAATGCCAAGAAAGATTATTCTTCGAGATCATTCGCAAAGCATCAGAAAAAAAAACGAACGAATATATGTAAAAACCTTACAAGGCTATCACCTTTTTCTGTAGATGAATTGATCTCCTATGGAACAGTTACGGTCTTTCCTCTGCGCGGAGTGTCTCTTTGTGTCTGGCTCAAAGTGATGAACCTAACAGTCCTCTGGGGTTAAGAAACGTTTAAGAAAACCAGCTAGATCTGCCACAAACAATTTCAGATTTTCCTGTAATGTCATCAGCCTGGTGCGCTTTTGATCAGGTGTCAGAAGACGTGGCACCCAACCGAGCATAAACCTCCGTCATGTCAAGTTCATTGTGCAGAATATTTTCAACTCTCTCACGGGATATGCTAATAGCATCGGCTATTTGATTTATAGTCAGTTGTCTGTCACCGATCTCCATATGGAGAACACGATTACTTTTTTTTCCTCGGTGGTGGCAGTTGCAGGAGATCCTGACCTTGGGCCCTCTTGAAGAATCTCCCTTCCCTTCAATTAAATGCCCACAGTTGATAAAGTTGCAACGTTGTCACCACGTGTCAACCATGTCAGCAAGAATGTCTTTGGAGACTAAACCCTTTCTTCGCAGGTACTAGTAGACTAGGCTTGCAACATTGCATCTGTAGGAAAGATGTTTCAGGGTGGAAAATAATTCATCAGCCAAGAATTAGTTACTTAAATGGATGCTTTATATTTTTCTAATGCTTCGGTCGATTTAGTAGAATTGGTAGAATTCTTGAATACGGGATAAAATGACGCATTTAGTAATACTTTTTGTTTAATCTTACGTTTTTCTTTTAGATTTTCTTAGATTTTTTTTCTGGCAGAATTTCTAGGATAATGGATCATCATTATTTACATTTTTATATTCGGACTAATATCCTCATCTGTGTTAATATCGCAAACTTTAAGGAATTTCGAATATGACCTTTTATTTAATCTGCAATGTGTGTGTGGAATTATCCTCGTTCGGCTGTCCATTTCTAGTGGGGGGGGAATCTCATATTGTTCTGTGTCTAATAATATGCTCAGGTAATACGAATCTATTACTCTAACCAGGGACTGAACTGGCGATTACTACGCCACTAAATTCAGGAACCCACCCTTTTATCTACTAGACTTTTGTTCCTTGTGTGAGTTAGTGTGTGTGTGTGTGTTGTTTAAGCCACATTGACGTCTGGAGTAGAATTGCATAAGATTTAGTCAAATCTTTGGACAGTTGCTTATAAATAAGTTACGTTCATTAGATCCAGAAGTCAAAAAGATAAAATTGGCTTGCTTTGTACGAGATTTAAAAAAAAAAAAAACATGGATATGGGTTTGGCTTGCACAAGATTAAAAAAAAAGTATAGACTTAAGTACATTAAACAGGTGTACCGGTTTGGGTGCGAGTTACCCGTTGTATTCGTAAGCTCAAGATGAATTGTCATTACTGTTTCAATTGCATCACTATTTACTTACATCAGGAGAAACAGATTCATGTCTGTGTTGATATTGATTTTGAAACCTTTATTAAAACCTACGCTTTTATCTACTAGGCTGTTCGCCGTTTTGTGTGTGTGCATGCTACTTAAGTCACACTGACGTCATAAAATTGTTCGAAAAACCTATTCGAAAAACATTTATTCGAACTGTAAATTATTTCAATGGAAATTAATCAAAAGGGAAATTATATACAATGTTAATTATTCGAAATACCTATGTTTGAAATACGTATGTGGTCTTGATTTGAGAGAGTCAATGTTGATTTACCTAGAACTAATACGACCTTGACGGATAGCATAGGGTTTTTTGCAGCAAGTGTCATCCCATCTTCCCCTAATATGGAAATTCTTAGACGCTCTTAAAAGAGAATAGGACTTGCAAGAAAATTCGTATTGAAAAGCTAAAAGCAGGTTGCCAAAATATAAACAGAACTAAAAAAAAATACTGCGACGTAAATAAAAAACATAAAAAATTCGTGCCATCTTTTACGAGTAGTCTTCAGTAGTTGGGTATTTGCGTACAGTATCATAGAACTTAAGGCAAGGATTTGTTTCTTACTAAATTGTTTTATTAACGATATTTACATTAGGAATAATTATTATCTCTATCTATAAAAGGTAGGATGTGTGTGTGTGTGTGTGTGTGTGTGTGTGTGTGTGTAACGAATGCGCGGCCGCAATTTTCGACAGATTAGCACCAAAATTTACATGCACATGCTCCAAGTTAGCGCGAAGGCCAAGACCGACTTTGCATTTCCCAATCCCCATTGATAATGGAAATAATCGATTTTTTCATGCTTCTACGGCAGTTTTCATGTAGTTTGCGGCCATTTTCTACTGGCCAGAGTGAGAGCC